ATAAAATAACTAAAAGACAATGAACACAATTTGTTAAAGAGAAAATACTGTAACGTGAGTATAGCATAATATACATAATTAATTCTAGTAGAGAGAAGAGGTTTAAAACATATGAATTACAAAACAATTCAGTACTTCATCATTGTACCATATCAGTCAAAACAGTTGAGTTTAGCTGTGAAGTACTGGTAAAACAAAACCTTGACAATACGATACTTCATTTCAATCATACATAAAAGTAAAGATGTATGGAGCAGGTCAGCTACTACTTACATCATCAAGTAATAAATCTGACAACTTACTAGCATTCAAATTAAGGCTTCCTGATGCCACAGATTTCAACATGGTACTGGTGCTACCAGAATCAGACTGAGAAAAACTTGAAAATTTACGAGGTGCTATATTAGCAGGTGATAGGGGGCGAGTCATGTTGATTCCAAACAGTGGCCGTTCTCTCTTTTCTTGTAACTGAGGATGAAAAAAATAAAAATTGTTGAGTTGAAAACAGCAACTACCTTGGAGCATAAAATTGGGACAACTAACTTTTCTGACCGTTGTATCTTCAACGGAGAAATATTTTCATACTCACCTTTCTTTCAAGGTCTTTCACAATATCTGATACTTTGCTCGAATCAGTAGATCCAATGCTCCACCTCCTCTCCTCTACTGAGTTGCTGCTTCTGATTGGTCCTTCAGTGACACCCGTTCTAGGTAGTCCCTCATTCCCAAGGCTTGTTTCTTTTGTTTCCCTTGAAAATAAAAATGGGGAAAAATTTAATAGTTTCACAAAATTTTAACATATTCAATGAAAAGAAGACCCAAATCCTATGGAAGCTCACTTTAAGGTGTCGGATAAATCCTTGTCCCAGTCCCAGTCCCCATCACTATCTGTGTCTACTTTTTTTGACACTGATGAAATGGCAGTGTCCTTTGCCAGACTGTTTCTTGGCTGTGGCACAGGCCGGTCACTATTTAGTGGGCTACTGCTTGTTATGGCCAAACTATTTTCACTAAGTGAGCGCTGTGGTGTAATAGATTCATAAGAGCCATGTGCTGGTCCAAGCTCAATTGTGTCAAATCCTGTTCAAAGTTAAAATCTATTAGTCTCTACAGTGCTTTGAGAACTACAGACCAGTTCAGACTTTTGAATCCTGTGCAAAAAAAGGAAAAAGGGACTAGGAATCATAGCTTCAACATACCATCCTTTTCATCTCTAAAAACAACTTTCTTCTTAATATTCCCAGTTGATAGTGACGACTTTAAATTACTTTTAACAACAGATTGAGTTGTATTCATTTGACTAGTACTCTGTCGAAATTTGGCAACATTTGCCAGCAGCTCTGCAGTGGTAAGAGAAGTGTGAGGTCGAGAAATAGTTGATGTATTTGGCTTTACAGAAGTATTTTCCATTATGTCATTTAAGTCAGATTCTAATTCGGATATTGATTCCACATCGGATGACATGAATGTAGGCTTTTTGGTCCTATAACACAAAACAAACAAGTTTTAAACAAAAATCCATCTGTCAAATTTAAAAGTTTAAAAGAAAGTGTGGGAACATACCCATTCTGTGAAGCTTGAGAACTTGATTTGATAGGTGTTGATGTCTGCAGCTTTGGAGGTCTCTGCATAGATGAATCAGATGACGAAGATTCTTTTTTCTCAACTTCAATCTCTGATTTATTTAAGTTAGCGTACATTGACCGGCTGTAGACTTTAACGTTACTTTTGATCCCTGAAGTACTAGGTAACGGTTTAGGATCAGAATTTTCATAGGTCAAATTAGTTGATGTTATTGAAGGAGAAGGAAGTTGTTGGTTCTTTAGTGGTATAGCTTCCTTTTCAATTTCTTCTTGAATACTTAGATCCTTTTCTTGATGTGAAAGTCCTGGAGGTGTAGTCTTTCCTTGAAGTACTTCATATTCATGTAATGGTCTTGAGTGGGAGGTAGATGGTTCATTAGAATACATATTTTCAACAACATCATGAGGTTTGGTTTCTGCCACAGACTTTTCAGAGTGTTCAGAGTGCGCTGTTGAATGTCCTGCAACACAAATTTATTTCATTTCTTTTGATGTGGAAAAGAAATTTATACAAAATTGGCATTGCAGTGGCAGCTTACCAGACTGGGACAGTTTATTTTTCATATGAGATTTTATGCGTGCAAAGATCGAAAATGAACGTGATACTTTTTTCCTTATTTTTTCTGAAGAACTTGACGTTGATAGTTGAGGTTTTGAGCGATCCAAAATCTGTTTGTCAACTTCCTTCAGGATGGCCTCTTGAATTCCAAAATAAGATTTGTGGGACTGGAAAAACATTACAGTAAATTTAATAAAGGTGTCATTTCTAAATATTCTAAAACAAAAAGAAAAAAAAAGGAAGAGAGAGAAATTACAAACCTTGGCAGCAATGTTTTCATGATGTTTTATTGTGGCCATATTGGAATGGAATGAAGCAGCAGGTAATCCTTCCCATTCAGGATCAACTCCTAATTCTCGTAACCTTCTGTTTAGGAGCCCCAAAAGATCCTCCTTCAGACCATCGAGTACTTGAGGTGTTAGCTGTAATCTACAATTTAATTTTTTTGTCATCATACTTGATATGTAAGAGTAGGTAATGAGAGAAAGCTACACAGAAATGATTAAAGATTATTATATTCAATTTTGCTATCAGCACTTACTTTGACTTATCACTTTCATTGCCAGGTGAGTTCTGTTCACTATTTGATGACTGACTGTCAGAATCGTAAGAGCTGCTACTTGCTTCACTCGACGTTCCAGTACTAGAGCTGCTCGATCTGTTATACATGGAGTTTGAATGACCTGTGTCAACATTGCCCACTTGACTTTTGACTGATGGAGGTAGACCTGTTGGGCTTCGTTTCTCCAAACTGCTAGGAGAACGAGTTGGTTGATCACTAATTGGACCAGAGGATGATGTTTGAGAGGAAGCAATAGATGAATCTTGATCTGAGGGCGGCACATATTCCTCTTTAAGTGTACTCTCGCCTCTTTCAGGTTTAGAAGCAATGGAAAGACTTTCACTGTTTCTGGATGGTTCTACATCTTTACTATTATTGATCTGCAATGTCAGAATACTATTTGCAACATTTCTTGCAGATGTTGCTTCTATTCTATCAGCAGATTTGTCCCATGCCTGTATAAATAAAAACAAATTGACCAATTATTTAAAATAATTCACATATAAAATTAGTTTAACTGCTTTTTTCTGCAGTTTAAATGTACTTGGTTTATGAGCTCTAGGGATAAAAAAAAATCTATCATCAAACCTGGACTGTATTGATTGAAGACTGTTGGGTGTCCGATTGAAATTTATTATTATTCGAAGTCGGCGAACTCACAAAGTGGTCACCTGACCCTGGAGAAGAAAGAGAGACTTCAGAACATATTAACTAGCAAATGATTTTTGCAGGTAAAAGGAAACTGTATTTGTGAGAATTACCACTGTTTTTTATTATTGATAAACGAAGATCATCTAAGTCAGCCCGGTGCTGACATTGAAGTTCTTCTAGCTTTCTTTGCATGGCCAACTCATGAGCCTTATGTTGTTCCAGCAACTGCTCTCTTAATGCTTTTATTTCATCATTCTGCTGATCAACACGGATGAGCAAAGATGCTTGACTTTTTTCATACTTAACTTTCAGTTGCTGACAGGTCTCTGCTATGGATGTTTGCCCACTATCTAAGGTATCAACCTTTGCAAAAGGTGGAAATAAGGCATTTGTTATATTGAAAGTTTTATAGGAATTAAAGAAATAATTGATTATTTTCAAAGAATAAATGCTTATGCTTGTTGTAGAGTGTCTTGTACTTTTGGTTTCTTACCTGAGAAGATTCTTCCAAATCTTTAACAGTACTATGTCTTTCCCAAGACAGTGAACCATTTTCAGGCACTGACTTTGTTTGCGGCAAAATTTCCAGTGGTGGAGTTGAAGTATTAGGGTTGGCTGGCTTCATTTTCTGTAATGAAATATCTTTGATACAAGGTGTGACAAGGAGGATGCATGCTGTATACTGAAAGATTGTTTTCAGAAAATGTGTAATACCTGCAGTTCATTTTGAAGAATGACTTGAAGTGCTGCTACATCAGGGATGGTGGGACTTTGCTTTTGCTTCAAAGCATCCTCGGTGGCTCGTAAACGCTCTTGAAGTTCATGAACTTGATGCTGAAGATTTTCAACCTCCTTGCTCTGGTTGTTATGGGGAACTTTTTCTGGAACTAATTCTGGATGACGTCTTTGTTGATGAGCAACAAGATACTGTTCTCCAACAAATATTTTCTCACACCCTGGACACTAAAATTATGACAAGGAAAGATATATTCAGTAGGTATATGTACATAAACCACTTTCTCTGGTAGTAAGGTGAGGAGTTGTCTTACCTTGAAAATTGGATGTGGAGATGTGGTCCTTGACTTCATAGATTTTGTTCTCAACTTTCTTTGAAGAATCCCTATTTCATCAGCATTTTCCTGCTTTATTTTCCTCAAATGTTCTATCTCCTGAAAAGAAAATAGGACTTTAAGACTAACCAAGTGATCATTCAATAAAAAAAATTTATATCAGCTAGATTTGGGGTGTGAATTTCAGCTTTGACCATGATAAACTTACTTGTAATGCAACCCTTAGCTGATCTTGCATAACAGCCACGCAGTGATCTAAATACGTTCGACAATACAACAAAAAGTCAGCAGCAAGTTGAGCTAGCTGAAATATTTTTATAAAGTTTGGGTCTAGTACTTTCAGGTCATAATCACTACTCAAATTACAGGACATCACACAAGAGAGAACATCCTGTAAAGTCTCCAAGTCTCGTTCTCGCACAATTTTATCAACATCAACAGCTCCTGCAAAGTAAAATGTGTTACAATACAAATGTAAAAGATAAGAATAGTATCAGGTTGATTTTTCTTTTTAATTACAAAAAAAGTTGAATTTTTTTTACCAATTTTAGCCCAGTCTACTCTACCACGATATAAGTTAAAGGAAAACCCAGCCTCTCTGGCCAGGCGTGGAAAGTCATGTCGGCTTCCTGAGTCACAATGTAGTGGCATGGTGTCAAAGGTTAAAAACGTCTTCATTACACTGTAACAGATAAGGGAACAACAAGAATTTTAGAAATTAGTGTAAGCAACAATTCAACAAATGAAGTGGTATGTGTATGTGTGTGGTAAGTGATTCGAGTAGCAGAGTCAGATAAATTATAAGACATAATAAAATAGCGTACAATTTCAATCTACTATGGAAAACAATAGAAAGAACCGGAAAATTCACGAAACGTTCTTACCTAACTGACAGTTATCAATAACCTCCACTAACAAGAGATTTTGTAACGACATTTTGATAAGCTAAGCACAATACGAGCAGGAGTTACACGAGCATAGTCCTCGTATACTGTAAAGTACATGGTACAATCACACACATTTCTCTTTTCTGACAAACACGAATAAACGATTTACTTTCAAGAGAAAAAGTAAGCGATTTGTATCTGGATTGTATTCTACCGCGCTTACAAGGTCCTGTTTGTTTATTTCTGGGCACTGCCTTCTTTAAAACGAGTAAACGACCGTTTAGCCGGACGGTCGGACAGAAATCCAACACACAGGAAAACAGAAACGCGACTTTAATGAAGCGTTTTACGAATTTATTTTCTCTTCTGATGTCGGAAATTGTTTGCCGTCATTCTGTCTTCTGGGAATACAATTGATTTAAGCCAGTAAAAGGAAGAAACAACGAAGTCATTGACTTTTTTTTACAGCCTGTGGCTTGGCACCACTTCACTCACACCACAGATTCGCGCCAAATCGGCCGGACTTCAGACACTTTGTGCTTTGTGCTTGGTTTTGTTGATGATCTGTGGTTTTTCCAGCACCAGAGAAACGTTGTTTATCGTATTGAGAATTTACTTAGCTCTGTTTTGCCATGGAGGGTTTTGACAATCCTGGTGTGTTCTTCTCTGACAACTTTGGAGCCGGCGATGAGGAGGAACGCAGTGAAGTAAATGTTGGATTCAATGCAACGAAGAGGAAACTAAAAGACTTTTTGCGCCAATTTCACGAAGGCAACTTTAATTACAAATACAGGTAAAGTTCTTAGTACAAACTGCTAACTTCGAGGAAAAACTTGACAAACCCCTCATTGTTCAATAGATCACTGTTCTCAATTCGTTTTTCCTTTTTCAAACCGATTACTTATTGTTTTCTTAACCTCATGCACATTTGATTAACATTCTTCTCAGTTCTTTTACTTTCATGTCTGTTACAGAGATGCCCTCAAACGTCAGTACAATCTTGGCCAGTTCTTCTTGGAAGTTAACCTGGAAGATTTGGCAAGCTTCGATGAGGCGCTTGCTGATAAAATGTACAAACAGCCTACCGAACATCTGACTGTGGTAATTAGAAATCATCTGAACTTGTGAAATAACATAATGTTTCCCATATTATCTTATTATGTAATCACATCCTATTATCTTAATGTTATCATATCCTAGTTTGAAGAAGCTGCTAAAGAAGTGGCTGACGAAGTCACTGCTCCTCGGCCTGAGGGAGAGGAAAAGGTTCAAGATATTCAGGTACTCCTGTCTTCAGATGCTAATTGTTCATCTTTACGTGATATGAGGGTATGTAAACACCTACCACTATCTTAATTTTCTTAAAGGAGCTTGCTTAACAACTGTGAATTCATTAAAACCCTTACTGTTTATGTTTCAGTCTGATTATGTGTCCAAACTAGTGAAAATCCCAGGAATTATTGTGGCAGCATCTGGAATAAGAGCAAAGGCTACCAAAATTGCTATTCAATGTCGCTCTTGCAGGAATGTCATTCCTAATTTAACTGTCAGGCCTGGGCTTGATGGATATGCTATGCCAAGAAAGTGTAATACGTATGTAGTCCATTATCATCTAACCAGGGGAAAACTCTATCAATTATTGTATTTAAATAATTTAGTCTTGATCCTTGTTCTGCAGTGAACAAGCTGGACGCCCCAACTGCCCCCTTGACCCATTCTTCATCATGCCTGACAAGTGCCACTGTGTTGATTTTCAAACACTGAAACTTCAAGAACTTCCTGATTCTATTCCCCAAGGAGAAATGCCTCGACACTTATCCTTGTATTGTGACAGATACCTTTGTGAGCGTGTTGTTCCTGGAAACAGAATACTTGTCCTTGGAATTTATTCTATCAAAAAAATTGCGAGAACAGGAAAGGTAATTGTGCATTTTAATTCTTCACTTTTGGCTTGACTCTGCAATCTATTATTTGAATCACTGTATTCAACGCTGGGCTTGTTGCAGATGGACGGAAGAGAGAAGGGTATTGTTGGTGTTCGAGCTCCATACCTCAGAGTTGTTGGCATTCAGGTCAACAGTGAAGAGGCAGGTCACAGCACAGGGATCAGTATCACACCAGAGGAAGAAGATCTTTTCCGCAGGCTTGCAGCTAGCCCTAACATTTATGAGAGATTAGCAAAGAGTGTTGCTCCCAGTATCTTTGGATTTGCTGACATTAAAAAAGCAATAACATGCCTCTTGTTCGGAGGTACAAAGCATTCTGGAAAATTTCTTACAACATGTTATATTACCAGTTTAATGGTTTAAACAATTTATTTTCTGTTTTAGGCTCAAGGAAACGTATGCCTGATAATCTCACAAGAAGAGGAGATATTAATATACTGCTACTTGGTGACCCTGGAACAGCCAAATCTCAGGTTCTCAAGTTTGCTGAAAGAGTGGCCCCAATAGCCGTGTACACTTCTGGCAAAGGTTCTTCTGCAGCTGGTCTGACAGCATCTGTAACAAGAGATCCAGTTTCAGTAAGTTTCTCAAACTCATTAGTGTCTCTAATATCTATTTTTTTGACAGTTTCATGCCTCCTTCTTGGCCTCTGTGTTTACAATCAAATGAAGTGTTGATAAATGACTAAGAATTGAGCATATGATATAGGTGTATTATTCTGTGGTTTCTATCATGATCGCCATTGGTCTGATTTGCGGAGAATATTTTTGTTCTCTCATGTTCAGACCTGAATAACGTCTGTTGACACTTGAGCGAGGGGCCATCTGATGATATGGAACTGAGCATATGATGTGGGGACAAAACTGTGTAGTTCATGTGATGATCGCCATCGGTCTAATTTGAGGAGAACATTTTTGTTCTCTCATGTTCAGACCTGAATAACCTCTGTTGACACTTGAGCGAGGGGCCATCTGATGATATGGAACTGAGCATATGATGTGGGGGTATTATTCTGTGGTTTCTATCATGATCGCCATT